TTGTTCTGATTCAGGTTCTTGCTGACTCCTAGTCGATGCTGTGCAGCCCCCATGCTTTCATGAGCTCACCGTGGGAGACTTCTTCCTGCAAGAAAACCGTGTATAGTCCTGCTTCCTCAACAGCAGACCTCGGATATGAGAACACTGCTGAAATTCATGTGTGTCATACTTTGCTGCTTGCCCTTCCTGGTCTTGAATCAGCACTATTATATCTGGAACTTGTTTGCAGCCCTAATATGGTAATGGAGGGATATGGATGGTTATCCTTCGTAGGCATGCGATTAGGCTAGGTGTCAAGGCAAAAATGAAGCATGTGACAAACTGAATCTGAGCACTAAATCTCCTGCCTCCCCATGAAGCGCGGCTCAGCGGTGGCACGCTGACGCACAACTTCCTCTGTCACTGCCTGCCCGGAGGAAGGTATGCCAAACACTCCTTTTTCACTTATTAAATCACCATCATTAGCCACGATGCTGCCTGTTGTACAAACAGCTCAGAAGACAATTCACAGATTACCTGAAACAGAAACCTCTCTGCAAACCATCTGTTTGGGGTTTTTTTTAGGTAATTGTGTGCTGGGCAGCAGGCAGGGCAGCAGTAGCTCTTGGTCACACAGTGCTGGCACAGCTGGCTCACATCTGGGTGCTGATCTGGGGAGGAGGGATGCTGGGCTCTGCTGGAGTGGGTGCGCTGCGCAGGAGGCACGTTTCCCTCAGCAGCTCTGTGGTCTTAGCTTAACCTAAACTGATGATGAACCATTGAGATTACGAATGAAAGGTTTTGATATTTAGCTATAAAAAGATGGTTTTCTGAGTACCTCATTGTAATACCACCCTGGTGGCTTTAAGACAGCATTCGTGCACCCCACCACCGTGCTCTGTTACCCTTATAAATCAGTTGGGGTTAGATTTTAACATCAGTAGCTGTAGTAAAAACTTGATTCACTTTGGGTTTTTTTGTTTAATTCAGCTGGCAGGCCCACAAAGGGAATGTTTTGTGACAGAGACGGTGATTCCACTTGCCCCCCGGTATACAAATCCCCTTTCTTTGCTTTAAGTGATTAAAACCAAACCCTGGTGGGGATGGCTGTGTGAGCTGGAACAGCAAGGATGCGACAGTGACTGCTTGTATTGCTTTCCAAGCAGGGTAGCAATGATGATGGAAGAGCAGAGATTACGGAGAGTGGGGGAAACGAGCAATTTTTAACACCAATTCTAGCCTCTTTGATAAAGATCTGATTTAATTTAAAGCAAATTTGCACTGTGGCTAAACTTATTATCCGTGATACTGGACAGAGCTGTGGTATCATACTGCAAAATGACTGACATGGTCAACATGACCCTATTAAATCTACTGAATCTATTAGCTGCTTCCTGACTGCAGAGCTTGTGATTCCCTCAGCAGAGTTTTATGTTGAGTATTTAAAAATCTATTAGGAGTCTGAATATTCAGGTTTCGCTATTGTGAGACCTTCTAATCCCATGCATAAGAGAAGCTGATAGCTGGGATGTGTTGTGCTGCCAGGTCATTATTTGGCTCCTCAGGAAAGTTTGGACTAGAAACAAGGACCAATTTCCTCCCCCCCCCTTTTTTTTTTATAGTAAGGGTAGCTGGCTACTGGAACAAATTAACTAGAGGTGGTAAACTGTCACTTGGAGCCTTTAAAACACCATTTATTACTTGAGAGAGAGAGACTAGCTCGAACAGGACTTGTTGAGCTGTAGGGTGGAACCAGAGGGTAAAATTCACGGGGCTTAGATGTGTGGGGGCCTGGACAAAGTGACTGTTGTGCTCAGGGATGATCTTCGGTGGTTTTACATGCCCCAGAGGGTTCGTGCAGCTGCCGGTCGTACAGCTCCTCATGTGCTCCAGCAGACGCTGTCCCACTACCTGCCCCCACTTGGACCTAATGGGGTGCAATTGGTCCCACGGTTAGTGGTTTAAATTTAATTTTATGCAAAAAAGGTCAAGAAACTTAGGATGGGCAAAACTTGTCATCCTTTTCTCTGGGCCAGGACCTCTGGGGTAGAGTTGGCTGTGATGATTTAAGATGTTAATGACAACAGGGTTTCTGTAGCCACATCCATCGTGTTTGTCCTGTTCTGCCCTGCTGCGCCAGCCCTAACGAAGAAGCCAGGTTAGTAGCTATATGTGATAAACTGATAAATTACCGCAGCTAAATTAGCAGGGTGTTTTATGTTGCAACCTTCAGAAGGAAATTCTGTTAATACTTTTGACGAGCTTCTGTGCTAAAAATTCTGAATGCCAACAAGGTGGAAATAAACTGGAGCTGCCTTGCTAAAATCTAATGGGTTTAGATTATACAGCTCTTTGTGCGAGTACGTGGTGCGGCTTAACAGGAGCGGATCAGCAGTATGAAATTGGTGCTGCTTAGGCTCTAATGCATGCATTGCCTGCTTTTCAGGGCATTTTACATAGGACTGGCTGTGGTCTGATCTCATGAACCGAATGTCCATTAGTGGAAACCATCTCTTGGCTTCCCTGTCATCTGAAAGGCATCTGGTCTGCGTGCGCCGAGGCTGTTCTGGGCTGTGAAGCCAGGGATGGCAAAATGGAAGCGATGGGTGGACTCGTTTCAAAAGTGTGCTCCTGCTTTGCGTTAAAATGGTAATGTAGGGGCACCCAGGGAGAAGTAAAATGGCACTTCTCGGAATAGCTGAATGTTTGGCTTTCTACAAAATAGATGAATATATATCTTAGATCTAAAGATATTCCTGGAAAAAACAGCCCATGTGTACAGGGGGGTGCCGTGGGTTCGGTAAAACGGTCACGTTGCGATAGGTAAAATGGTGTGAAAGCAGCAGAAAGCATGAGCAGCTGCAATGGCAGGTTTATGTCTCAAAGCAGACTTTTAGTTTGCGCAGTGCCTGTTTTTGGGTGAATCGCCTACTGCCCTTCTTGGGGTGCAGGCAGCACCCACCGCTGCCAGTGTGCCTGGAGCTGTGCCTTGGGACAGAGCGATCGTGTTCGATGCAAGCCGAGCGGGGACTTTAGCCTAACTGTGTTTTGGTTTTCGTGTCTGCCAAGCATGGGAACAGTAAACTATTCAATAAATACATAGCATTAATCTTCACTTTATTTAGAGATTTCAGCTTTGATACTTGAATGTGGAGTGAAGAATGGGCCAATGCTGGGTCTGCCGAAGGCTGTGGCATAGTCAGACAAGCTCCTGGTTTTCATTTCAGTCACTTTTCAGTTACCTTTTCTGATGAGAATCAAATTACTTGATCAGGGAGGTGACAAATCTTCAATAATTCATTAAACTATAATGACTTTACAACATCCTAATTTTTCCCCCTCGATTTTGTTTAATTTTTATTTCTGCTGTAGAGTGGACTCCGTGTTTTAGATTCAAGGCTGCCCATCCAGGTATTTCAAACCAGCCTGTCATCTGGAGAATTGATAACTGGCATACCCTCGCTTTAGTGATGCTAAATGGTTTTTCTCCTCAACAGGATAATTATATTGATCGTGGCTTAGAACTTCAGAAATTGGATTGCAGTTGCATAAAGTGTGTTTTAAAACTCTAATAAAAACTATATTATACAGAGAAAACTCTCAGCAAAACCAGAATGCCACTGTTGTTTTATCTAACACTCCAAACTTGTATCAAATTGGGGTATTTTTCACCCAGCGTCTGCTTAAAAAGCCAGAAGGTGCCACCGCTCCATGGCCCCCTGCCCTCTCCTTAACAACGGGGCTACTGCAAATCTCGCTGCGTCGAACCTTGGTGAAATCCAGCTCTCGGCGGGTGGGCCTGGATACTCACTTGCAATGTTGTATTTCATCCCCGACAAAAGTTTTAGAAGGATTTTACCTTTTAAGATAATTGATTTTTGGCTTTCGACTGACTGCTCAAGGGCAGTCTTCTGTGATAGCTGGCTACAAGGGTGTGCAGAGGAGCACCGTTGTATCGGATGCGCGGCCCTGTGGACCGCTCGCACGATGCTCATACCTGCGGGTCGAATGGCGTGCGAGATGTTGTGTGCGATCCCCTGGCCTCGGGCGATCTCAGCAGCCGAGGCTGTGGAAGCTTGAGGCTTGAAGCGGGGCTGGTCTGGGCTCGATGCAGTGCCAGCTGTGGGGTGGTTGAGCTAGAGAAAAAGGGAAATCAAAAACTCTGAGATTGAATATGGTCTCTGGCTGATGAGGAGCAAAAAGACGTCTAGATTTATGAAACCATCCTTTTCTGAAAGAAAGCTGAAAAATGTTAATGGTAAAATCTTAAGATGTCAGATGTTCCTGTACCATACCAGCCAGGAGGAGAGCGCTTTATTGGGGAGGTGGAGACTTTACTGCTAGTGTGCATAATCACCTACCAAAAAAAATAAAGAAGCTGACAGTGTACTTGAAATGAGTAATACTGGTTCTACTTTGAGACCCTGAATACCCGTTTACCTCTTTGTCTCTTGTTTTTCAGGCTGGACGCAAAGAAAGAAGTGATGCACTAAACTCTGCGATTGATAAAATGACCAAAAAGACCAGAGACTTGCGTAGACAGGTAATTAATATACAGAGTTGATACTTGTTCAGACAAACGAGTGCATT